TTCAGAAGTGTCCCAGACGGCCCCAGAGGGCCATGGGCGGGTGCAGCCCTTGGGGGTGGTGCAGCCAGTGTGGCTTGGGCCCACAGTAAGTCTGTCCCAACTGGAGATGACTGATTTAAGTGGCTTCCAGCAAGAGGAGAGCCAGCCCACCACAGCCTGGAGGCGAGACCTGAGCGTGTGAGTCACCCACCTCTCCCTGCCACCAGAGGGGACGGGGACAACCCCAGTCTGGTCTCCCTGGGCCCCTACCTCCCACCCCCAGGGGTGTCCTGTAACCGGGGCACAGCAAACACCCCCGCGATTAGGAGTACGTGCTCAGACACACACACAGACTTTGCAAACAATGCAGGGAAATAAAGTTCTCACAGGAAACATTATCATATTGACTCACGACAGACCCATCCGTAAAACAAACTCCGAGTACCTGGGACTGGCTCAGCGCAGCGGCCGGGAGATAGCAGCCAGGCCGCTCTGCCGGGCCTGAGGAAGTGGGTGCTGCCGGGGGGAAGGGCAACTTCCTCTGGCTGCTCTGACACTGGCCTGGGATCTGAATTATTTGTCAAAAAGAGAAAAAATGATTTTCTTAAAAAGAAGCACAGTCCCTGAGCATTATGGCCTCTGCCTTGTCACAAGAGCTCAGTTGCAAAAACCCCTCTCAATACCGTGGTGTTTTGCAAGTCCTTTGCCGTGTCAGTGCGGAAAGTATTACCGTCTCTAGAGGCCTGTGTCTCCATCAGCCCTCACTTAGCAAAGATGCTTGACTGCTGCCAGCATAGAAGGAGATTTCCGTCCAAGTCTGTTTTCAGATTTGGGAAGGCAGCTCGGTGCATCTGTGGGGCATCAAATGGACAGGCCTTTTACCACGTGTAATCTACCTGTTTGGAACCTCAGTTTCCCCATCTGCAAAATGGGAGTAGTCGTGAGAATTAAAGTAAGAAAAGGTATGTACAGCATGTAGCATGGTGTTCATTTTCCTGACCCCTTGTGAGAAGCAGCCTGGACTTGGGGATCTGAAGACTTCATCCAAGTCCTGACTCTACCTTTTCTAAATCCTGGGAGCTTGGGCAAGCCCCAGCCCCTCTCTCCACTTCGATTTCCTTCTCTGGCAAAGCAAGGGGTCCAACCAGCCCTGGCCTGCCTGCCTCCCCGGGTATGATGTGGCTGTGAGGGGGGCTGGGTTGTCATCCGGGCTTAGGACACATGGGGCTGTTGGGGGTTCAGATACCAAGGGCAAAGTGCCTGGAGTTTTTGGGTTGTTGCAGTCTCGGCTGAGCCCTGGCCATTCTCCCATCCTGGAATCACAGTGATACATGGTGTCCCGGGATCTGCCCCAAGAAGGAACAGAGTCAACGTCCCCCTTCTGGTTGTGGGTTTTGATCTGGGAAGGGTCCATTGGTGGTGCAGTGGGCACCCCTCCCTCGGGCCCCAGCAGGCCCTAGTTTCACCTGGGGGTGCTGCCAGCTCACTTCCAGTCTCAGGTAGCTGGCATGGTGTTGGCACATCACACATCCACGGGCCATGCGCGGCACCTCGTGCAATTGCTCCCAGCCCTGCTCTGTGCATTCCTTCCCCTCGTGGTAACCAGGGTGCTCTCTCAACAACATACTCTGACCAGGTCACAGTCCTGCTTGAAACACTTCAGTAGCTTAGGTCCAAACTCCTTCTCTTGGTCCTCAAGGTTCTTTAGGATCTGGCCTGTGCCGAGCTCACCAGCTTCCCTCTCACCATTTCTCTCACCCACTCGACGCTTCAGACTCACTCAAGGACCCACAGTTTCCTGAACCTGCCATGGTTTCACATCTTACTGCCTTATGCATGCTCTTCTGATTGTTCGTTTTTTCCTTCTGTTATATTCTAACAAACTTCTGCTCATCCTTCAAAGCCCGACGTTAGTGTCTCCTTTTCTGTCAAGATAGCCCAAACCATCCTCCAAACAGTTGCTTTCTCTCCCGTGCTTCCGCAATGCTCTGTCCATCTCTCTGTCATAACAGCTATCACAGCATCTTATCATTTACTTCTTCATAGACCTGTCTCCTACTCGGGACCACAAGCTTAATAGGTTAGGAACTGATTTCTCAGTACTTTGCTCCGAACTCTTAAAATTTCCTCACCACATTTAGGAAATTTCCTTCCCCAAAATGGTGACCGTGCGAGTTGTTGGTATTTAAGGAATTGCTCACGGTGCCCAGATTTACAGCCAAGTGTCCTTTAAGGGAGCCAACTTTGCCTTGAAGCTTTAGTAGTTTGTTTTTCTACCAAATAGACTCCAAATAGGTCTGCGGAGGCCGGTGCACTAATGGCAGCTCACGCATGCCTGCATTTTTAAAAGGTTTTAATGTGTAACTGTTTAATTCTTCCCAGGGAGATATTTTCTACGCGATAGAGATATTTTGTAAATAATACACTTCTTTCTTCTTGGAGGTAAAGCAGGGGATGAAGAGTCAAAGCACCAGAAGCACAGCTGTCCTGCCAGCCCCTAAGTCAGCTCCAAGGGTGAGAAATAGGATGCATTTCAGCCCCGAGGAATGAACTCCTGGGACGTATGTCTGTCAGGCAGAGTCTGGAGCACTTCCTAGAAATCTTGACCTGTCGCCGTCAGTGGGGAAGGCTAATTAAAGGAAATAAAAGGCTGGTAGCCAGGAGATTCCAACGTGCTGAGAAAACAAAGGCAGCCAACCTGCGAACTGCGAAGTCAGCTCTCAGCTTTGCCCCTGCCCCGCTCCCTCCACCACCCACCCAAACGCTCGCTCGTTTCTTCACCGGATTTCCAGATTTTGCACTACCAACCTACTCTTTGTTTACCCTGATGGATCAGCGGAGACAACCTTTGCATAGGAGGCTAATGCAGTAACCGAGGCCTCCGAGGCCAGCTCCCTCAACGGCTGGAGCTGTCTCTTCTTCATCGTGTGTCCGATGCAGGGCCAGGCAGCTGCCCGTGGTGGTTCAGAGTAAGGACATGGAAATGCAAATGAAAACTACCAGACACGTCTATTCCTTCATCAGAATGACTAACACTAAAAAGACTGACCATAGCAAGTGTTGGTGAGGATGTGGAATGACTAAAACACTCATACGCTTCTGATGGGAATGCAAAATGATACAGTACAGCACGTGGGAACACACTTTGGCAGTGTATTAGAAAGTTAAATGTGCACTTTACCATATGACCCAGCCATCCACTCCTAGGTCCTTTCAAAAGTGAAATGAAAACAGATATCTACTCAAAGACTTGTACACGAATGCTCAGAGCAGCATTATTCATGTAAGCCAAAAAGTGGAAGCAACTGAAATGTCCATCAATAGCTGAATGGATCAACAAAATGTGGTCTGTCTATGCAATGGAATTATATTTGGCCATAAAAAAGGAATGAAGTACTGATAGATGTTATAACGTGTATGAACCTTGAAAACATTCTGCCAAGTGAAAGAAGGGAGCGATGAAAGACCACATATTGTAGGACTCCATTTAGATGAAATGTCCAGAATAGGCAAATCTATAGAGACACAAAGTAGATTCATGGCTGCCCGGGGCTGGAAGGAGGAAAGAATGAGGAATAACCACTAATGGGTAGGGGCGTTTTTTTTGGGGTGCTGAAAATGTTCTCAAATTGATTGTGGTGATGCTTGCACAAGTCTGTGAATATATTTTTAAAAATGCTCAGTTGTATACTTTAAAAGAGTGAATTGGATGGTATGTGAGTTATAGCTCAATAAAGCAGGTACACGCACACGTACATAGTGGCGATGAGGACATGACTCAAGCTTGACGCAAGCAGTCACGCAGCGCGAGGAGTCCCATAATTAGGCCTGCAGATTGAATCGGGCTGTGGAATCTTGTTTGGCTGGCAGCGTTTGAAAACATTATTTGATCTCTGTGCCTGTAGGCTGGGCATGTGCTCTCCAGCCCGCTGTTAGGCACATGGGATTTACTCATTTACACAACCTGCTTGGCTTGACATGTCCACCCCTGCAGCAAGATGGGGGACTCCAGGAAGCCCAGGCAGGGACCTGGCCCTGACCTGGAATGAGCTTCTCTAGAAGCCACTGCACCTCGCTCTTTCACAAGTGTTAGATCACGAGGTGCCACAGCACTGGCCGATAGAGCTGCAGCATTTCTGCACTGGCGGAGAGCGGACACTGGGGTGGGGCCCCACAGTCAGTGTGAGACTCATCTGATGTGCCATTGCACCCTCTTTTGCATAAAAGCAATAGTGGGGAACGTTTATGGAGCGCTTACTATGTGCCAGCACATGTGTAAACCTGGTATGTATGTGGCGTCTCATTTAATCTCCACCACAACCCTAAAGGGGACGTCCCAGTATTACACCCCTGTGTACCCACTGGTGGTTGTGTCCCTTGCTTAAGGCCACCCAGCTGTAAGTGGTGGGATGGGGACTGGAACTCCAGTCGGTCAGGCTCCAGACCCGCAGGTGGCCTCGCTGGGGTCACAATGGCAGAGCCGGAAGGGCCTGAAGTGTCACCTGCTCACAGGACTTGCCCGAGGGTCAGACAGCCAGAAGTGGGCTATTCAGCCCCGTGACTCTCAGGCCAGTCCCCCTGGCTGCAGATCAGGAGCACAGAGGAGCAGGGTGTTCACCCCACGACGGCGAGAAGAAGGGGAGAGAAACACCACAGGCATTTCTGTCCTGAAGAGTTAGATTTGGAAAATCACCAGGCAGAAAGGGGACTTTACATTGAGAGGATGGGAGGGAAGGAAGGAAGAAGAAAGTCTTTTTGGCTCAATATTTAGAATATTTAGATGAGTGGTTTTATTTCGTGGTTGGTTGGGTGTCTTTCGGGGTCATTAATAATGGATAAGTCATAGGTTCAGGTGCCTGTTGGAAGTAGTTCCTGAACTTTCTTATTGAAGAAAACCCCAGCAGCCAGGCATTTAGCTCCTGAGATCCCGGCCCGTCCCATTCTTCTTTGACCCCGCCTCCCCCCCCCCCCCCCGCATCTTCCACTCTACCTCCCATTTGAGCAGACTCAAAACCAAAATCTCAATTTTGAAAGCTTTATCTATTTAAGAGATATTGGGTTGGGCCCACTCTTAGAGATAGCTACAGATCATTTTTCTATGTACACTTCATTTTCATCTTCACGTAATAAGTCCAAAAAGTCAGTTTGCGTCACTGCCAGGTAGTACTGGTAAGAGTAGCTGGCGTTGTTGAGTGCACAGTCCCTGCCAGCTGCCATGCTAGCTCTGGGCACGTTATCATCAGACTGCTCAATGTCCTTGCAAGGTTAGCGCTGCTTCCTCCATTTCACAGGTGAGCAACCTATGACTTAGGGAGGTCATGTCACACAAGGGCAAATAAGTGTGAGCTCTCGAATTCTCCAGTCTTTGAGATTGCATACTTTTTCTTTTTATCTGTTTTGGCCTTTGCTGATGGCTGCTGATAGGGCTTTCTACAGTTGGGCCAACTTTCCCTACCCAGCTCTTCAACAAACATTCCAGGTGGACTTATCGCCCTGTGGGTTATATGGGAAGTTCTCCTTCATTTCATCTGTATTACAGCCTAAAAAACAGAACAACAGAAAGTTGTATTCATAAAAAATATGAATTCAATTGTACCAATCAAAAGAAGTCTGTAGAATTTTTGAAAATGTATTTACAAATTCCTTTCTTCTCTGTACTTCATTAGTACAAATGACATCCTCTTTTCTGGTATCAAGACGAGGAGAGTTACCACCCAGCTGCCGTTCCTGCCTCCTGGCCAGGCCGTAAGTGTTTGCCTCTCTGGAGAGCGTCCAGGCCACATGCTGGGCACAGTGGACACAGAGATGAGTAAGACCCAGGCCACTGGGGTGATAAGGCATGTTCGTGAAATAGCAATGAATGCCACGTCTAGTCTGGCAGGTGCTGTAGGAAAGGCTTAGATAAAATGTCATGAGAATGTGGAGAAGCGAGAGGGCCTTTCCATCTAGGCGAATCAGGCAAGGCTGAAAGATCAGTGGGAACTGGATAGGAAGACACATCCTGGGCACACCACGGATGGCCACATGCCAGGCCACGTGCCACTCACATTACCCGCTTGATGTTATTTAATCGTCAGAGCAACCCACTGAGGCAGTTACTGCCACTGCCCCTTCCCTTCAGCTGAGCTAACTGAAACTCCAAGAGGTCAAACCACTTGCCCAAGGTCACAGGAAAGTTCCAGAAGCAGGCTTTGAATCCAGATCTATTGGAAGCCAGAGCCCCTGCTCTCAGGTTGATTTACCGTTTTCAGAGAACTTTCAGACGTGTTATCCCATCTGATCTTCCTGTACCCTGAGTTTCTCTATGTCTCACCAGCCTGTTGGCTCAGATGAGTCACCCTGCCCGTAAGGGCCTGAACTGTACTCTCGTGCCCCCTCCCCCTCCCCGCTCAGCCTGGTCCTCCAGCCACCTGCAAAGCCTCACCCACCTCTGGCGGGAGTCCCCAGGGGTGTCTAGGGTCTCTTTTTCCTCCATTGCCACCCCCCCCCATTAAAGTTCACTGCCCAAGAAGGCAGCTAAAGGCGCCACCCCCTCTGCCCAGGTGTGGGCCCCCTTTGAGATTCCTTCCCCAGCCAGCTGAGCCTTGGGACACTGTGTCCAGTGCATGGCCTCAGCTCCCTAGGTCATCGCCCCTCTGTGAGCCTCGATTTCCTCCTCTGGGAAGGGAGAGGAGTCAGTTCAGTTCCACACATGTTCCCTGTGCCACGGCCGAGTAGAAGAGTGAACCATGGAACCGAAGGAGACGGGTGGATCAGGCGAGGGCCTCCATAAGACACACACATGAGCAGTTACACCGCCAGCCCCATGTGGGGCATGAGCACCTCGAGGGAATCCAGCTGTGGTGGGAAGGGCCGGTCCCGGCTGCGAAAAGGCCTGCGTGGCGGCTGTTCATGGATACCCTAATGGACGTCAGATCCCCAGCTTCTACCGGCATTAACCGGTTTAATCCTCCCCAAGAGCCATTTGGGGCAGGGACCAGTATTATTCCCGTGGTAGAGACAAGGAAACTGAGGCTCCAAGAGAGGTGCAGTCACTCGCCCCAGGTTACACAGCTGGTCAGTGGTGGAATCCAGCAGAATCAGGTCTGAAGGCCCCCATACTCTTAACTGCTGTCTTCACAAAAGTGAGGCCAGTCAATGGTGGCATTGAAAAATCAGCTCAGTCCTGATGCTGCTCAGCTCCATCTGCTCTGCATCGTGATTCTCGGGCTAGAATCATACATTGTTTCCCCATCTGCATAGTCAGCTGGAACAAGATCCCGGAGCTTGAGTAAAACCATGGGGATCATCTCCCAATTGACAGAAAAAACCAAGTGGATGGTCAGAACTGTTTCAGTATAAGGTTTTTCTCCTGTGCAGTTTTCAGAAAACTTGGGAGCCCTGTGTCCCTTGTTCCTGCTAGACCTCAGCATATGTTGGTATCTGGCTGATCAATAATAATCATAACCATGAATATCAGAGCACTGGCCAATGCTTTGCCTGCATCGCCTCATTTAATCCTCGCCATGACAACATGCGGCAGATACGGGATCTCTGTTTTACAGAGAGAACCCAAGCTTAGAGAGGAGAAGTGTCTTGCCAGAGGTGACCCAGGCAGTAAGTGGCTGGCTCTTGAACCAGGTCTGGGGGCCCTAAAGCCTAAGCTCTTGACCGCTGCTTACATGGGTTTCTTATTTTCCATTTTCTCGCTGGTTCTCAACCCAGGCTGCACATTTGAAATACCTGGGATGCTTTTTAAAATACTATGGCTAGGCCTATCCCAGACCAATTAAATCAGTCTCTGCGGGAGGGGACACAGGTCAAAGACCTCGGCTCTGGGAAATTCCTGCTGTTGCCCCAAGAGCCTCAGCTTGACCTGGAACTAAGGGGAGAATGAGATGGGGGGTGTTGAAGGTTAGCTGAATCTTCTCCCCCTCACCTCTTCCATCTCCTCCTTTTCCAGCCCACCCAGGAACTGGCCTCCAGCCTCCCTCTTGTCTGAGACCATTTGGCATTTGGGCTAAGATTTCTATGTGGCCCCTACCCGCCATGGTGTCTCGTAAGCCTGGCACATAACAGGTACTCATAAACATGAGAAAAGAGTCATGTTCCTCAGGCAGAGGAGATTGCATCGATCTGTTCTGTAGGCGTGGAAAGAACACCCACAGCGGGGCCGCGCCTTGCCTGCCCAGCGGGTAGCGTTGTGCTCCCGTCCTCAGTGCACAGGGTGCCCCTTGCACCATCCCTTTCCCAGCAATGTGTACCAGCTTAAAAAAAGAAATCTTTTCTAATTTAATAGGTAGAAAACAATCTCGGTTTTGGTTTGAATTTACATTTCTTTGAATACTGGTGAGGATGAACATTTTCTTCATATGCTTATTAGTCATTTGTATTGCTTCTTCTGTGAATTGTCTGTTCCCAATTTACTAATTTACAATGAGAACTATAACTGCCAAAGGGACCGGATACACGTGTCCTCCAGCCAACACACCAGCTCCCTGTAGGCACACTCCACTGGAAGCCAAATTCTAATCAGAAGGATGCTTGGTGAGCACAGAACGAGAAAAGGGAGGGGTTGGTTCTGGGATTCCAGGGTTAACAGTGTCAGGGCAACCCAGACCTACCGCTGGGATCCACCGAATCCTCGGCCAGGGCATCGTCCCCTTTTTTCTCCCCTCTGCCTCCCTGGCTACCCAGCCCTCCTTCAGACGGACATGTCTTTCTCTAGAAACATTTCCACACTTACCTAGGGCTCCCTCTGGCCTAGGATCCTCCTTGGTTGCGTGCTTGAACTCTCGAGGCAACCGTCATTCCTGTTTCCTGTGCGTCCTTGGACTGCCTGCCCTTTCCTTGGGCATTTACAAAGTGTGGCTGACACCTTCTGGGGTGGCTGCCTCTCTCGTTGTCTTGGAATTGCCCTCTTCCGTTGCGTTCCAAGTGAAAGCAGCTTTGGGGGCGGGGGGCAAGGCGGGGGTCTGTGAAACTCCACAGCGCTTTCCACTTTTGGAACGTTTATGTCCTTGTGCATTTTTCAAGCCTTTCCTTAGACTCTCCTAGGGGGTCTCTGACCTGTACAAGGTGGAGAGCCGTTGCTAGAGAGGACTTGGAGAGTGGAGAGGAGGGTGCAAGTGGAGTAGCCCAAAGAAGCAGAAGGAGAGGCACCAGAGAGGGGCCCTGCGTAGCTGTGGTCTGGGAGGGTGCCTGCAGCAGGAACGACAGCAAAGATTGCATTCAAGGGCGGGAGGAGAAAGAGGATTCCAGGTGGGCCTTTGCTCAGGCAGGTCCTTCTGCCCAGGATGCCCTCCCCGACTTGGCCAATTCCCCCTCGTTTTTTATGTTCACTCCTCCCTGAAGTCTTTCCTGAGCCCCCCTCCGTCCTTGGAACCCCCTTCGTTGTAGCATTTACCACATTTATGAGAGCACCCGGGCCTGCTAGACCATGAGAACCTTGACATCAGATACGGCATTGGGTTTATCTGGCAGTCCTAACCTCTGGCATGAGGCCTCACGTGGTAGGGGCTGGATGAATGAGAAGGCGGCTCTTGTAGCCTCGCTCGGGGGCAGCACCGTGTGGAGAGAATCCGGAGGTCTGGAGTCTGCTTCTGGCCCTCTGGTGCCCTGGGCAAATTCCTGATTCTCTCTAGACCTCAGTTCCTGTCTCTGTACGAGGAGAGCAATGGGACTCTCTGCGACTTACTCTGTACAAGGCACAATTCTAGAAATATACATATTCATAATAATAATACTACAATGTAAATAATAATAATGTATATAAATATAAATATTTTTGGTAGAATGAAAATATAAAAACAAAGTCCTTGAAGTTACTTTTCTGGAACCAAGGGAGGCAGGACCAAAATCTCCTAGGGGGAGAGATTTTAAACTTTAGGGGGGTTGGCATATTTCATTACAAGAAATATTATGCCGCTCTAGGCCCCAAAGAGGCAGTGTGGCGCAGCAACATACACATGGATGTGAGAGTCAAGGCAGAGCACAGCTCAAACCCAGCTTGCAACCCTCCAGCTTTGTGACCTTTAGCAAGTCACTTTACTTCTCTGAGCCTTGAAAATTGGAAAGTGTCTAGCTATCTCAGAAAGTTGCCATGAGGACTCAGTTGGATGTAAGACTCTATGAATACAGGAATCCTTTACTTTTAATCTCAAGAAATGTTAGCTACAAAGAAAGGGAGCTTGGACAAGGGACTTCATCCCTCTACGCCTCAGTGTCCTCATCTGCCAAATGCAGGCTGCCGGGAGGGCTCGTTTGAGGGGAGGTGAGATGGTGGGTGCAGAGAACATGCTGGGATAGTCAGTGGACGTTAGCTTCCCTCCCAGCCTGGCAGTGGGGCATACCCAGCTCCATCTTCTTGGGCAGAAAGCTTGGAACAAGGGATTCAGAGCTCCGGACACAGCTGAGAAGGAAGCACAGTAAAGAAGAGAGTCAGAGGAAGGCTCTGGAACACGTGGCGATTTGCCTTCTCCCATCAGAAAATGCTCTTAGACAAACAGCAAGTTTCCTCCATTAATAAGGCCCGCGGAATGCAGATGGGGTTGTTTTCCTCCTCCTTTTTTGCTGATTAAGTTCCCCCAAAACCCCCTTAAGAATTTTAATAAGAAATGCAAAAATCAACAAAAGTGCAGCAAACCCTTTCCTGTTATTAAATAAAGGGAAAGTAAATATTGCAAATTGGACATATTTCATAAGAGGATGTTTTGTTTGGGTGAAAAAAAATGAGAAAGAAAAGAAAAAGCTATTTGCTTTCTGGCAGCAAATACATGTCTTTGCTGAATTTTGGTTTCAAATTTGATGACTGGGGCATTATTCCTGGTTTGCCTGGAATTCAGGCCTTTTGACATCGGAAGCAGACATACCCAGGCCGGCAGGACAGCCAGGTTTGGGCTGTGTTGGGCCTGTTCTCCCCTCTCTCCTGTGAGCAGACCAAAGAGTTCTTCAACCACCCAGAAAATATGATCCTGAGCTGCAAGGGGGTCACACACAAGACAAAAGCAACTTGAAACAAAGAAGATTTTTATGAGAGAGAGGGAGAAACAAAACAAAATACAAAAGGTTCTCTGTACTTCCTTTTTAGGATAATATATGAGACCATAAAACATATTATATTAATGCAGCACAGTGGCCCTGCAGTTAGACAGACCAGGGTTTAAATCCTACCTCTGTCACTTCTTAGCTGGGTTACCTTGGGAAAATTACTTACCTTCTCTGACTCACTTTCCTCATCTTCAAAATAGGGAGAATAAAAGTATTTACTAACAGAGCTATTATGAGGAATAAATGAGTGGGGAAATGAGCTAATGTAAGGAAAGTGCTACGCTCTCTATATATCCCATATTATTTTGGGTAGTATGACAAATATACAGGAGGAGGCAAAAGAGGAAAAGCCATAAGACTTTATTTCTCTGTATTTCTTTGTAGTGATTGTTTGCAAAGAACGTTAGTTAGTTAGGTGTTGGAGCACCTGGTGCTGGAAGGTGGGTGTGGCCCCTCAAGGACACACATTAAATGGTCTCTGTGACCACGAGTGAGTTCAGAGAAAATGACCAAAGGAAAGGAAGGGAGGGAGAGAAGCCAGAGGGTGTGGCCCCTTCCAGCCAGCTCAGTCCCACAGAGGAGCCACATCTTCCCCGGGGCCCCTGCACCCCTCCTGGTCCTCTCTGTCCTCCTTGTGGGGTTCCCATGGCCTCTCCTGGCACTCCCTTCTCCCTGGCAGGGGCAACAGTTGTGAGGGGTCAGGGCCCATTTATGGGATGCCAGGACGGGCTCTTACTCTGGAAATGCTGGTGAGCTGGACCCCACAAGCCACCTTCCCACGACAACAGAGCCCAGGCCTGTGTTTCGCAGGTGGGGAGCTGCCCGCTTCCTCTGATCCCTTCTTCGCCTCAGGAGTCCTGGCAACCGCCATCTTCAAACAGTTGATCCTAAATAGGAAAATGATTTTGGTTTTGTAGTTTTCTATCTTGGTATTTATTTGTTTGCCTGAAAGCATCCTTTTGTGCAAAAATTAAAATAGATAAGGAAATATAACAAATAACAATCACCTGTATTCCCATCACCCATATTTGCTTCTAGGTTTTTTTCTTAAGAAATAAACATTAGAGAGAAAGCTAAAGGCATTTAGCCTATCTACTACCCCAGTCCCACAGATAACTAATGAATTTGGCGCATATCCTTTCTGTTATTTTTAAGTAGTTTAGTATACCTATAGATATAGTCAGTATCTGATATTGTTTTGGGTGTGTTTTAATTTACATAAATGGTATCATAGGATTCATATTGTTCTGCATCTTGCCTTTATCACCAAACATTATGTTTTTTAAATCGATCGATTTTGATATGTCTATAGGAGCTAGTTCATTCCTTTTTTTTTTTTTGAGGAAGATCAGCCCTGAGCTAACATCTGCTGCCAAGCCTCCTCTTTTTGCTGAGGAAGACTGGCCCTGAGCAAACATCCATGCCCATCTTCCTCTACTTTATACGTGGGACATCTGCCATAGCATGGCTTGCCAAGTGGTGCCATGTCTGCATCCGGGATCCGAACTGGCGAACCCCAGGCTGCTGAAGCAGAACATGCGCACTTAACCACTGTGCCACCGGGCCAGCCCCTAGTTCATTCCTTTTAATTGCTGCATAGTATTCACTGCATTAACTTTTGATATCACATTTTATATGTTCATTCCTCTAGGGATAGTCATTTAGATTGTTTCCTTTTTTTTTTTTAATTACAAACCACTGTGCTTTGATAAAAATTCTTTGTATGTGTCTTTTTGGGCATCTATGTCCTAAGTTTCTCTTGGAAATTGACCCAGAAGTCGAATGTGTTTGACTGTTAATCACAGGGCAGGAGCTGGCATGACTGGGATCCATCCCCCCTCTGGTGCTTACTCCCTGTGTGACCTTGGGCAAGTCATTTCACCTCTCTGAATTTCACCTTTTCTTCCCTGTAAAATGGGTGTGTGATAATCCCCAACTCTGGGTTGTTGTGAGAGACTTAAGTGAGACTATCTCTAAAAAGCACCTGGAAGAGTGCAAATGGTAGGAGTCCAGTAGCTGTTATCATCCATGCTACAGGCTTTTTTAACAACTGAATTAGAATCCAAAGGCACTACCGAAACCTTTGTACAAGGGACCATGGGCCCAGCAGAGCAACACCTTGGGGGCTTGCCCAGCTCCCCTTCCCACATGCTGTCAACTCTATCCCCCACCTAGGCTGGTGTCAGCTCAGTAAACAACTGAGCAAACGTGCCCTCAGCATCTCTGTTTCCCCGCCTGTGAAATGGGATAATGACACCCGCCTTGAAGGGGTGTTGGGAGGCTTACGTGGTAGATCACGTATGAGAGCACTTGTTGAAGCTGCCCCTTCCTGCTCGCCCTGGACGTGTTCTCCTTCAAAGCGGTGAAATTCTCCGAGGTTCCGTGCCCCCGGCAAGGGGAAGCTGGGCTGCCCCCGAAAGGGTTTTTGTTTCACGGCCCTCGCCTTTTATGTTGAGTTTTAGTGGGGTGTCTGTGTTTGTTTTCCTCCCCGGAAAGTGGTGCCCACGAAAGGCTGGGTGGTTTAAATTTGCTAAAATACCTCCATCTAGTGGTCTCGCTGAAGAACTGCAGGGGTCGGCCCCGTCTGGGAAAAAACAATGGGGCGACCGCTGGGGGCGACCGCTGGGGCCGCCCTGCCCTGCTCGGAAACGCCGGTGGCTCCCCGTTGTCTGCGGGGTAAAGTCCAAAAGCCGAGCCTGGAATTCGAGCGCCTCCACCATCGGGCCCCGCCCTGCCTATCGGACCTTATCGTCGGCTTCGACCTCCTGCCCCGCTGGGCCCAGCGCCACCCGGCTCCAGAACCTGCCCGACACGTGGGCCTGCCCAGCGCCCAGCCCGCCATCTCCCTCCCCGTCTCCAGTCTCCTGAGGCTGACGCTCTTTCCAGGCTCAGCTCGAAGGCCACCTCTGCCCGGAAGCTTCAACCGTCCTGGTCTTCCCTCACCTGCTACCAACACTTACTGTCCGTCATTTTTGTATTTCCACCTTTAAAACTGTGTTTTGTCAATGCAGTACCCGCCGGTATCCAGCATGATGGATTAAAATGAATGCAAGCCTGTAGTCCTGCCGGGCCTCCACTACTTCCTAGCTCTGAGAATTTGGGCGGGTGAGGGAACCTCAACTCTGAAATAGAGGTGGGAACACCTATCTCACAGGGCTGTGGTGAGAGTTAAGGAAGATAGAATGCAAAGTGGCCAGCATGCCCAGTAAATTGTCACTAGGGTGGTCAGATAAGGATACCCAGTTGAACTTCAATTTCAGATAATTTTTTTTTAGTATAAGTATATCCCAAATATTACATGGAGGTTCTGTATAACATTTCACAGATAAATAATGTCAAGGATTATTGTTCCTTTTGTTAGATGTGCTAATGATATTGGGGATGTATATGTACAGTCCATCCTCATTATTGATGGATTCTGCATTTGCAAATTCACCTACTAGCTAAAACTTATTTGTAATGCCCAAATCAGTACTCACAGCGCTTGGTCATTCGCAGACATGCAATGCATAGAGCAGAGAAAAATCTGAGTCTCCCAATATGCACATTCCCAGCCAAAGTCAACAGGCGATACTCTGTCTTCTTGTTTCTGCTCTCATATTGTATGTGAACAAGTGTGTTTTTTGCGATCTCTTTAGTGCCACATTTTTTGCATTTTTGCACTTTCTGTTGGTAATTTCGCTGTTTAAAATGGCCCCCAAGCAGAGTGCTAAAGGGCTGTGTGGTGTTCCTAAGCCAAGACGGCGTGAAGTGCCTTACGTTAAATAAACTTTGTTCAGGCATGAGTTAATAGTGCTGTTGGCCATGAGTTCAATATTAATGAGTCAGCTGCAGACATTAAATAAAGTGTCTTTAAACAGAAACATACGAAAAACAAGGTTATGTATTGATCTGTTGATGAAAATGTGGCCAGAGGCTGGCAGGAAGCTAACCTTGTATCTCCCCTTAGGAGCAATGGTTCATTACAGTATTCACTAATTCAGTGTGTGTGGCGACTCGACAGAAATACTGTGAATAATGAGAATCAACTATGTGTATATATAATGTATATGTAATAAAATGTTAAGTCCTTACCTACGAGAGATACATACTGAAATATTATGAGAGAAATTATATGATGTCTCGGATTGCTTTAAAGTACTCCAGCAGTGGGATAAAGTTATGTATATGGAGAGTGTAAAAGAAACAAGGAACCAAAGCTTGAAGATTGTGGAAGTGATAATTATTCTCTCTACTTTTGTGTATGTTTGAAAATGACCATAACAAAAGGTTTAAAATACACATTAAGGAGAAAATCTTGGAGGAAGAATATCTTATTCGGTAGCTTTCCCTCTGGACCCTCTGTGGGGCAGGGCTCCAGATGATGCCACCTGAGATCCCTTCATGGGCAAATCCCATGCCCTTGAGTCGAGGCAGAGCACTGGCAGAGGCTCAGGAGCCCGGGCTCTCGTCTCAGCCCCACCTCAGACTTGCTGTGTGCTACCTCAGGCAACACAAGTGCCTCTGAACCTTCTTTCTTATCAGTTAAATAAGGAAGTCGAACTGGACAACCTCTGAGTTCCCTTTCATTGTTAAAACCCTCTAATCCTAAAATCAGTATTTCCTAAATTGGAATGTTCTGGGGCAATATTACAGCCTCCCTCCAGCTCTCTTCCCTCTCCAATCCATCCGGATACCACTATTCTGTGAATCTTGCCAAAATTTTCTCTTTTTTGCAACACTCCAAGCAGGAAGCTTTTCTGATTTTGATTTATTTAAAGTCTGAACTCCTTAGCTGAGCAGTTAAGGCCTGTGCAGGCAGACCATCCACTGAATGCCATGTCTTGATCTCTTTCTACGAAGAGCTCACAGTCCAGTTAAGGAGGACCAGGAAACAGGGACAACACAGGGTGCACCGGGCTAGGGCGGGAACACAGAGGAAAGTCACCAAAGCCAGCCTGGGGAGGCAAGAGGAAATCTCCTGGAGGAAGAGACATCTGAGCCGAGACCCGAAGTGTGAGTAGGAATTACTGCTGCAAACAGAGGGGAGAAGGATGTTCCAGCAGAGGCAGCAGTGTGCAGAGCCTGGAGACAAGAGAAAGCTGAGAAACGTCCAGATTTCAAAGTGCATCACATCTCGCCCCATGAATCTTTCTGGCATTATTCGCCACCCTTCTCTGTCACCCACCTTCCCCTTCTGTCCAGCATGTGCAGTACGTGTGCTGGTTACCCTGGGATTCACATTGAGAAGGTATATATTGGACTCCCTACGAGGCCTCCTTTAAAATAACCAGGTTGGGAGTAACTTCTAGGTTTCCCCTGGCACTTCGGTTTGCTCATCTCTCATAATCCGGAGGACCCGTTTTTCAGTAGAGGAAACTGAAGCTTAGAAAGGTTACATCACTCACTGAAGACCAGACGCTAGTGAGGGGGGAAGAGGGGATTCAAACGCAGGTCTGACCCCTGGCCTGGGGTCCTTTACACTGCACGGGGAAGTTTTAGTCTTAGCTCCACTACCTCCCAGCAATGTGACACTGGACAAGTAACTTAGAATCTCATTTGTAAAATGGATCTTGCGGGACCATTGTGAGGATTAAACGACAACAGCATCTGTGCAGAAGGCCGCCCGCAGAAACCCAGGGAAGGCAAGAAAAAGGAAGGGCCGCCTCTGCCTCACACTGCGCGAGGGGAAAGCCGTACGCCAAGACCTGCCTTCAGGCTGTGCGCAGGCGCGCTCCGCAAAGGCCCGGCGAGCTCTGCGGCTGCGCACTAGGCTGGCTTTGCGGCCGCACTGCTTGACGGCAGCGGTGTCCGCCCCCCGAGCCGGCGTTGCCAGGGTAACGGCGAGCACGTGGGCGCGTGGAAGGTAGGGCGCCTGGGCGCGGAGCGGGAGGTGTCCGGAGGCCGGTAGTGCTGTGGATGCAGCACTTTGGAGCGGGGTGGGTTTCGCTGCCAGAGGAGGCATTGCGTTCTTCGAAAGCCCTGCGGGGCGAGAGCGGAAAGGGCCCAGAGACCTCCCCAGGGTCGCACAGCCGGGCCAGACTGGACTAGGCAGGCTTCCTAGTGCTGCCGGAATTAACCCCTCTCTGCCTTCTCCATTCACCTGTAGCCCTTCGTACTTCACGTTCTTTCTGGAAACACTAACACCGCGTCTAGTGCTGGGGGCTCCGACATGCATCCGACACCGTCTCTGCCCGAAAGGACCCTCAGCCGCTATTGGGGTTGCTGGGGGGGAGGGGGGGCGGTCAAGGAGACCAGCAAAGGGATAAGTTAAGAGAAGGAGTTAAAAATTCTTTGGGCCGTTAACACATTTTGGCTTGTGTGCACTCGTTTATTGCAGTTAGAGCCACCGTCTGGTTGACACTTTCCGAATGGTAGGCCCAGTATGAGGCGCCTTCCTGCAATTACCCGTTTACTCCTGACAGCCTTCAAAGGTTTATTGTTTGTTTATATACGGCATGGTCTCGGGTTCTAACTTGAAAGCTCCCCCGAGGCGGGCTTGTTTGCTTTGTCCCTTTCATCCTTGCCTCCATTAGCCTAGCAGGTACACAGTTGGAGCTTCAGACGTTTTTTAATTGGGAGAAGGTGAGCTGTGCTGGGCGGGAGGTTTTAACCAGGCTTGTTTCGCAAGGTGGTCCCAGGGGGTTGGAAAATTAAGTCGAGCTACCTTCTCCTTTTTCTTTTGTTTTTTCTTTTTGAGTAAATATATACTGAGCACCTAAAGGTGTTAGTTAGCTTGTCTGCTCAAGGGAAGAATAAGGAATAAAGCCCTACTTAACGCGTCTGAAGTCGGGTGTGCCCAGGTTTGGGAAAGGAAAAGTATCAATCCCTTAGGGTGCATAGCACTCAGCCCCTCTGAGTCCCTTTCCTTATCTGTACAACGGGAATAGTAACAGTACTTACCAGGAGGCTGTCGGAATTGAGTTTTTATAGGCTGTCTCGTCACCAGTGGTTGGCAACTTTGGTTACTTGTTGAAATCACCTGGGTCCCACTCCAGAATTTCTGATGTAATTGCAGGTAAGGCCTGGGAATTAGTAGTTATAAATTTACCCAGGTGAGTAAGGGCAACCAAGCTTAAGAGCCACTGTTATATGCCACCCCAGGTTAATTTTCTTAATCTCTGTTCAGTTGTCATTCTCTCTGCTTAAGAACCTGAGCTGGCTCAAAGTCTAAATCAGCCTTCACATCCCAGACCCCCTGACTGCTGGCCCAGTCCATCCTATACATCTGTGTGTGCTTCAAACATGGGTCCTCTTTTAGGCCAATCTTCTTACCATGCCCCGTCTCCTTGCCTTACTAACCGCCTATCTTCCCTGGCAATGTGGCTCTGAGCAAATGACTTGCCCTCTCTAAGCTTCAGTTTCCTTGTCTGTGAAATGAGGATAGTAGTACCCACACGTGTAGCATACGGCACAGGCAGTGCCTAGCATTTGTACCTACTGATGATAGTTACGTCATCCAATTTTACTCACATCCCATATCTTACATCGTGCTGTCCTCCTATCATGGTACTAAAGAAACATTTCTTAAATGCCTGTTGCAAATAGGGAGAACAGCGAATTCAATCCTTTCTCCCCAGCTATGTCTTCCA